CCATGGAGGAAGGTAGTTGATGAGGGTCGTGACACCAGGAAGCAGGGGTCAGAGAAGAGGGGTGATAAAGCTGCAGCTGCTCCTTCCGAGGAATTGTGGGCGGCACCTCGGAACTGCCCTGCTGAGACCAGGCACCCGGCGTCTTCACCCACTGACTCAGACTCATGGCTGAGGGCGGCCAGGGGCCTTTCCCGGCCACCCCTGCTGATGGGCTGGACGAGCTCTGGGGTGCAAGAAAGAGCCAGCAGGCAGCCAGGCTGAGAACAGGGGGCAGCAGATGGGGACATGGGCTGGCCGAGCTGCAGGAGAAATTAGAATGGCTGAGGGAACCCAGCGGACCAGCAGCTTCTGCTACAGGAGTCAAGAGAGGAGAATAAAGACAAGTGACATGTTTGAGGGCTTACTATTTGCCAGTATCTTAGTCTGTGTGAGCTGCTATAACAGAATACCACAGATTGGATGTCTTACAAACAATAGAAATTTATTGCTCACAGTTCTGGAAACTGGAAGTCCAGGATTGGGGCGCTGGCAGATTTGGGGTCTGATGAGGGCTTCCTGGTTCATAGATGGCTGCCTTCTCACTCAGTTCTCTCATGATGGAAGGGCTGAGGGAGCTCTCTGGGGTCTCTTTTATAAGAGCACTAACCCCATTCATGAGGGCTCCACCCTCATGACCCAATCACCTCCCAAATGTCCCATCTCTGAATGCTGTCACACTGGGGGTTAGGAGTCTAACATACGGATTTTGCTATAGACAAACATTCAGTCTATACTACCCACTAGTAAGCACTAGCCTTATCTCTACTCTACAAGTGAGGAAACTGAGACACAGAGAGGTTCTAATCTCACCCAAGGTCACTCAGCCAGCAGGCAGCAGACAAGGATGAGGCTGGGCAGTCTGGACTCAGAGCTTGTGCTGGTAACCAGGGCTGGGACTCAGGTGATCAAACAAGGCACTCAGGTTTAAAATTTAGGGAGATGTCACTCTCAGGGTTGGTCCTGTGCAAAGTTGGTGCCTGAGAGTCAGGCCTCCTTAAATTTTGCACCCTGAGTGCCTCACTTGCCTCATCCTGGTCTAGGCCCTGCTCATGGCTCTGTGCACTCCGCCCCCTGGAATGAGCTTCCCTGCAGTCCTGCACCCGACCCATCACACATCACTCACAACCTGCACTGGGGGACGTGCTGGCTGGGTTCTGAGGCTGACCTAAGGTCACATGCCCCCACATGCAGAAGGGGTGATGGAGACAATTATGCAGATTGCTTACACAAGAAATAATTTGTCCCTTTGATCTGAATTTTTCAAGAGGTTTCAAGTAACTGACAACAAAATACATTACAACTTGATTTTTAAATGTATTTGAGGACTTCTAGTTTCCACTCCAACATGTAGAACTTAGAACTCACCATTCTCATCCTCACAACAAGAAAAAAGCAGAACAAACTGAAAATCAACATCTCTTCTTAGATCCTTCAAGGAATTGAGGTCCCAGGGCAGACTGCCTCCCCAGAAACTTGGGAGAGACAGGCAGAAACAGAGTGCTAACTTACAGGGACCAGAAGCTGCTAAAGCCAGTAGTGGGCAGGAACTCCTTAACAGCAATTGACTAATTGCTGGAGGTTGAGTGTGGGCTAGCATGAGAGGAAAAACTCCAGGGTGTCCCGTTTCAAGACGGGTCCCACACTTTCATGAGTTTTCCCTTCGGAAGTCCCACTTGTGCTTCCAACAGGGAGAGGGGGAAACAACCCTTCTGAAATATGCCCCAAACCTTCTATTCTCCTTAGCAAAGGCCTGCACTCAAGGGAAAATACTTTACCAGAGCCTGATCACCTCGGGCAAGGGCAACTAGATAGCTGGAGCCCCCTCTGGCCTTCCATCTCACTTTAGGGGAGAGGAAGAAACTCTTTTGAAGGTCACAGCCCAGAGGCTCTGGCCCACAGAGAAGATTTGATGATAAGATTACAGAATAGGTCCTTTCCTCATTACTTTACTATCACGTCACTATACTAGCTCCAGTATAATAAAAGGTTACAAGTGAGAGCCATGAGACACAGACTCAATTTAAGAAAGAATTTCCAGGGAAAACCAAAAACAACAAGAGGATGAAAACATGGGCATGAGAGGAACTTGAAGCCTTTGTTGTTACCTATGTTTACAACAAACATGAAACACAGCCCAGCTCTGAGCCCCAGACTGTCACAGCGCCTCACACTAAGTCCTGTTTGCCTCAGCTCCTGTTGCTCAATACAACATGTCCAGATCTCAAGAAAAAGTTACAAGGCATACTACAAGGCAAGACAAAACACAGTCTGAGAAGACAAAGCAAGCATTAGAACCAGACTAAGTAATGGCAGAGATTTCAGAATTATCAGGCCAGGAACTTAAAATAACTATGATTAATATGCTAAGTGCTCTAATGGAAAAAGTGGACAATATGCAAGAACAGTAAAGCAAAAAGATGGAAACTCTAAGAAAGAATCAAAAGGAAATGTTGGAAGCCAAAAACACTACAAAAGAAAGTAAGAATGCCTCTGACAAGCTCATGAGTAGACTTGACATGGCTGAGGAAAGAATCAGTGAGCTTGAAGATGTGTCAACAGGAACTTTCCAAATCGAAAAGCAAAGAGAAAAAAAGAGAGAGAGAGAGCACAGAAGAGAAAATAGACTATCCAAGAAATGTGGGACAATTACAAAAGGCATAACATAAGCATAATGGGAATAACAGAAGGAGAAGGAAAAAGAAAGGAACAGAAGAAATATATGAATAATAACATGGCTGAGATTTTCCAAAATTAATGACAGACACCAGGAAGCACAGAGAACACCAAGCAGGTTAAATACGAAAATATCTACACCTAAGCATATCAAACTGAAGAAAACCAAAGACAAAGAGAAAATCTTGAAAGAAGCCAGGGCGGTGGGTGTGGGTGGGAACCCACCTTACCTACAGAGGGACAAGGATGAGAATTACATCGGACATCTCTTCAGAAACCATTCAAGCCAGAAGAGATTTGAGTCAACTATTTAAAGTGTTGAAAGAAAAAGCCTGACAACCTAGAATTCTGTATCCAGTTAAATTATCCTTCAAATTTGAAGGGAAAATAAACTGAGGGCATTTGTCACCAGTAGACCTGCCTTGCAAGAAATATTTTTAAAAGTTCTTCAGAGAGAAGGAAAATTCAGATCTACATAAAGAAAGAGCATTAGAAACGGAATAAATGAAGGTAAGATTGAATCTTGTATTTTCCTTACTTGTAATTGATTAATAGATAACTTCAAAATTATAATAGCAAAATGCATTGGGTAATTATACCTTGTGAATAAGCAAAATTAACGACAACAATACTATAGGAAACAGAAGGAGGAATGGATTGAGAAGACTGTGTTATAAGGTATCTTCACTACCCAGGAGGTGAGATAGTGTTAGTTGATAGTGGACTTGGATCAGCTATAAATGTATATTGCAAACTCTAAGGCAACCAATAAAAAAAATTTTTTAAAGAAGCATAATTGATATACTAGAGAAGAGAGAAAAATGAAGTCATAGAGAATATGCTCAATTAAAACCAGAGAAGGCAGAAAAAGAGAAGACAAAAATTAACAAGTACAATGAATAGAAACAACTACAGTAGATATTAATCCAACTATATCAATAATCACTTTAAACATCAAGGTCTAAATACACCAACTAAAAGACATGGACTTACAGAGTGGATAAGAAAACAAGACCTGACTATATGTTGTCCACAAGAAACCTGCTTTAAATGTAATGACACAGATGCATTAAAAATAAAAGTGTGGAAAAAGATAGACCATTCTTTTTAATGAAAAGAAAGCAGGAGTGAATATTTAAATTCAGACAGAGCAGACTTCAGGGCAACAAAAGTCAGAACGATAAGGAAGGAAGGGAGGAAGGGAAGGAGGGAGAGAGGGATGGGGGAAAGAAGAAAAGAGGTATTTGGGGGTTTTTTTAAACATCTTTATTGGAGTATAATTGCCTTACAATGGTGTGTTAGTTTGTGCTTTATAACAAACTGAATCAGCTATACATATACATATATCCCCATATCTCCTCCCTCTTGCATCTCCCTCCCACCCTCCCTATCCCACCCCTCTAGGTGGACACAAAGCACCAAGCTGATCTCCCTGTGCTATGTGGCTGCTTCCCACTAGCTATCTATTTTACATTTGGTAGTGTGTATATGTCCATGCCACTCTCTCACTTCGTCCCATCTTACCCTTCCCCCTCCCCATGTCCTCAAGTCCATTCTCTATGTCTGCATCTTTATTACTGTCCTGTCCCTAGGTTCTTCAGAACCTTTTTTTTTTTTTTAGATTCCATATATATGTGTTAGCATACAGTATTTGTTTTTCTCTTTCTGACTTACTTCACTCTGTATGACAGACTCTGGGTCCATCTACCTCACTACAAATAACTCAATTTCGTTTCTTTTTATGGCTGAGTAATATTCCATTGTATATATGTGCCACATCTTCTTTATCCATTCATCTGTCGATGGACACTTAGGTTGTTTCCATGTCCTGGCTATTGTCAATGATAGTCATTTTCACAATGTTGATTGTTCCAATCCAAGAACATGGTATATCTCTCTGTTTGTATCATCTTTAATTTCTTTCATCAGTGTCTTATAGTTTTCTGCATACAGGTCTTTTGTCTCCTTAGGTAGGTTTATTAATAATCACTTGATTCTTAATCGTGTTTATATTTAATTATAAACATAAGATTTATTTTTAGAATAAAAAGAATGAAAAACATCTCCATCATGTGTCTTTGTTCCCAATAATCCCTTTCAGATAGATCTGTGAAGCAATACAGAGCACAGTGTCGACATACCTTTCATTTCAAAGGCCAAAAAAAATAGGGCTTAAGTAGTGAGATCATTTCTATTAGGCTTTATGTTAGTATCAATTAATGAGTTAATCAGTCAAACGAGTATCTGTTGATTAATCTCACCCAAATGAATGGGTCTCTATTGGTTTATCAATGTGATAGAGCATCAGAGTTCAATGAGCAGGAAGAAAATCCTGCCGGCATAATGTGAGTCTTCACTTTTCCTTTCTGAATCACGAAAGTACCTCTCATTCCTACAGGCTTATCTCCATAATGTTTTTCAAGAGTCTGTCTCATACAAGTCACGAAGTTAAGTTTTCCAGTTCTTCTTTTGGCTTTCACCTCAATGACCTTTTAGTTCCCTGGAAAAATGCTATCGCTTACTAAATATTATTCTTTTTTATTTTAATTTTTGTTTGCATTGGGTCTTCATTGCTGCATGTGGGCTTTCTCTAGTTGCAGCGAGCAGGGGCTACTCTTTGTTGCGGTGTGCGGCTTCTCATTGCAGTGGCTTCTCTCGTTGTGGAGCACAGGCTCTAGGCGCCGCGGGCCTCAATAGTTGTGGCACATGGGTTTAGTTGCTCCACGGCATGTGGGATCTTCCCAGACCAGGGCTCAAACCTATGTCCCCCTGCATTGGCAGGCGGATTCTTAACCGCTGAGCCACCAGGGAAGCCCAAAGTATTATTCTTAACCTTAGTTTTAAATGAGACTCTCACTCTGCCTGTAGTATTTTCTGAATCTTTTATAACTGGGTTATTTAAAGAGGTTTGGGACTTGGGTAGCTTTGGATTTTCTTAAGAAAACTACAGTAGTTGCAGTAAGCTTTCAAATTTTTAGCTATCTGAGAACTTTTGGAGAATACTGCATTTTTAAAACAAAATCACCTTTCCAGGTTGGCCTTTACTGGCAAAAAGATTAGCCAGTAATGCAAACCCCAAATCATGGTATTTCTCACTGTATTTCTCTAGTAGGCACCCTCCATCTGCAGAGTTAACAGGAGCAAAGTAACTTCCATTCACAGGAGGTTTGTGTTCACTTTCCGTGTGAACAACTGGCATAAACTCAGAATTGAATCCAAAAGTCGGAAATGGGCCTGCTTCTGCTCCAAGAACAAAAGCTCCAGGAAGCTGGATTTCTCCTGCGATTTTATTTAGATCATAATTTGTTTTATTTATAAGAGGCAATAAGTAAGGCACACCTCCTACTTCTGCAATTCTAGTTTTCCTACAGATACCTTTTACGGGAAAGGTAAATGGCTCCTTAGTCAAATTAGGGCAATCAACTACAGAGACCTGGACATCAGCAAAGGTATCCGTTAGCCCCTTCTGCAGAACTCCAAACTCAGGAACTCCGCACTCCAGAGGCCCTCCTTTCGACGTGCTGCCTCTCCCCTTCTGCCGAAAAGAGGTATTTTTAAAAAAGAGTCCAGGGTTTCCCTGGTGGCGCAGTGGTTAAGAATCCGCCTGTCAATGCAGGGGACACGGGTTCAAGCCCTGGTCCGGGAAGATCCCACATGCCGCAGAGCACCTAAGCCCATGCACTACAACTACTGAGCCTGCGCTCTAGAGCCCGTGGGCCATAACTACTGAGCCCACGTGCCACAACGAATGAAACCTGCACGCCTAGAGCCTGTGCTCCACAACGAAAGAAGCCACTGCAATAAGAAGCTCGCACATCACAACGAAAAGCGGCTCCAGCTCACTGCAACTAGAGACAGCCCGTGTGCAGCAATGAAGACCCAATGCAGTCAAAAATAAACAAATAACAAATAAATAAATGTATTAAAAAAAAGAGCCCAACCAAGAAGAAAATATGTCTCCAGAAACAGAAGAGAATTTCTCTCAGTTGCTTCACCCTCTAGAAAAACTTAATAAACATTATGCATTCAGTAAAACAAACGCTGGAAGACAAAATGATTTTCAAATCCTATTTAAGATATAAACTGACCAAAGGGAACAGACTTTTTAAAAAAATTTTTACATAACTAAGAAATAAAATTTTAAATGACACAGAACACAACAGATACAGCTGGAAATCAAATATTAACAGAGAGAAAAGGCATGAGATGAAATGAATACACATGAAAAGGGCAAAGAGATCAAAGCTGAGGGAAGCTAACAGAGGTGGAAGCCTGTCGCAGGAGATGCGATATAAGCGTTTGGGGGTGTCCCTGGATTACAAAGCCCAACAGTGACAATGTATTCAAAGACATGAAGCAGGAAACTTTCCCTGAAATGAAGAAAAACCTCTGAAACTTTATACTTAAAAAACTCATATGTTCCAAGAAACTTTTTTTTAAAATGCCCAACACCGAGATATGCTATAATTGAACAATTGAATTCCAAAGACAGAGAAAGACTTCTTCAAACATTGAAGCAGGAAAACAGATCAGGGAAAAGGAGGGAAATATTTGAGCTGATCTGACTTTTCCACAGAAACACGTTGCACCAGAAAACAACTTCCACAAAGTCCAGACGGGCCGTGGATGTGACCTGGAAACGTTACATGTAGGCAAGATGTTCAAATCAACACAGTGGCTAGATGCTCCACACACAAGAGGACACACATCCCTGGAGAAAACTCCTTGGGAGAGTTTTGGAAAGAGAACTGGAGTCAATTTTTTGACAGTGAGATCCAACCAGCAAGAGAGTCATCAAAAAAGAATTCAGACCAAATATACAACTACCCTACAACCCAGCAATTCCATTCCTAGAAACACCCTAACAGAAAAGAGGGCAAATGTCCAGACAAAGACCTGAACATGAATGTTGGAAGCAGCTTTATTCATCGTAGCCCAAATCTGGAAAGAACCCAAACGTGCATCCACAGGAGAATGGACAAACTGTGATACATCCACACAGTGAACACTACCCAGCAGTGATGCAGGACCTACTGGTCCACAAGACACTGATGGATCTCCCAGTGGAAGAAACCAGATGCACATTTTACAAGAGTCAGTTTTCCCAACTCAACTCACTTTACGTGACGATCAAGAACAGGCAACACAGGGCTTCCCTGGTGGCACAGTGGTTGAGAGTCCGCCTGCCGATGCAGGGGACGTGGGTTCGTGCTCCGGTCCGGGAAGATCTCACATGCCACAGAGCGGCTGGGCCCGTGAGCCATGGCCGCTGAGCCTGTGCATCCGGAGCCTGTGCTCCACAAAGGGAGAGGCCACAACAGTGAGAGGCCCGCGTACCACAAAAAAAATAAGAACAGGCAACACAGATCCGCAGTGATAGAAGTCAGGACAGAGGTTACCTTTGGGGGCTTAAACAGAAGAGGTGCTGGAAATGGTCTGAGTGACCTGGGTGGTGATGACACAGGTGTGTGCACGTGTGAAAATTCATCAGGGTGCACTTTGTGTGTGTTCACAGGGAGAAGAAAGGAGGGAGGGGAGGAGGGAGGAAGGCCACCTGCCAGGTCACAGTCACACAGCAGAAAAGAGCGGCCCACCGAAAGGGCCGTCAGGGTAACAGCTGATTCCAAACTCGGGGAAACTTCAACCACTGCGGACGAGGAAACCCAAGGCTAATGCAACAGCAGCCGTCAGCTATTTCGTAGTGAGGAGAGTGGAGCACAAATACTCTGCAGCTCCAGGAGGCCGATCTGGAGGGAGAATCAGGTAGTGTAGACGCTTGGCTGCAGGGAAGCCCACGAGCCAGGGGCAACGCAGAAGGCATCGCCCCCAGGTTCCTACAAGCAATGTCAAGCCCCACATCTCTGACGAGGGGAGCGTGACATTGTTCTGAAATGAAGGCGCTCCGACAGCAAAGACCCATGTGCCCGGCGTGTTCAGCTCCCTTTGCTGCTCTAACAAGTTGCCGCAACCTGAGTGGCTTAGAACAGCATGGATTTATTCTCGTAGAGTTCAGGAGGTCAGAATTCTGAAATGGTTCTTACTGGACCAAAATTCAGGTGTATCAGGGCTGTCTTCCTTCCCCGAGGCTCTAGGGGAGAATCTGCTTCTTTGCCTTTTCCAGTTTCTAGAGGCTGATGCATTCCTTGGCTTGTGGCCCCTTCCTCTATCTTCAAAGGCAGCAAAGTCATCACTCCAACCTCTGCTTCTGGCCTCACATTCTCTCTCTCTCATCCTCCTGCCTCCCTCTTATAAGGACCTCTATGAATACATGGGGCCCATTCAGACAATCCAGGTTAATTTTCCCATCTTAAGATTCTTCATCACGTCCACAAAGTCCCTTTTGCTACATAAGGTGACATATTCATAGGTTCCAGAGATTAGGACTTGGGCTTCTTTGGGGGCCATTATTCTGCCCACCACACCCAGAGACTGAGCTTCATTTATGCAACATCTCAGAGCCTCGATCTCAGACTTCTGATTGGTCCAGGGTGGGTCACACGCCCATCCCTCATCCAATACCCAGGAAGAGAGGAGGGAAATTCTGGTGGGCATCTCTGAACCATAGCAACCGAGTGGATCCGTGCTCAGCTAACTCCAGAGGGGACCTGAGAGAGACGACAGGACCCACCCGAGCCACATCCCCAGGTCCCTCACCAGAGGCTGAGCTGGCCTCACATCATGGGTCCTCCTTAGCCAACCAGGCAGGACAGCAGAGCCGGCCGCCCACGCCTCCAGCCCTGTCCACACCTGCTTCCCTGCCCTCATTTTTGCTGATCCTGGGCCAGCAGACGAGTGAGGCTGCCAGCTCTTGGCACAGTGCTGATGTCCCCCGAGGCCGGCGAGGTATGACGGTGACTTGTTATGAGGCTAGCATGGGGAAGACTGGACTTTCTCACCCCTGGTGTCTGGAGACAGCTGCTCTAAATTCCCCTGAGCTCCCAGCCCAGAGGGAAGGAGAGCAAAGCCAGAAACGTAAAAGAGAAGCAGATTCCCGGTGCTGAGAGCCAAGGGCCAGGGCCCCGGCTGCTTGGAGGGGAGCTCCCCGCTGCTGGGGGTAAAACCCAAGCCCCTCCCACACTGACGAGGCCGGGCGTGGTCTGGCTCGTGGTCCCCACTTCTCCAGGCTCATCCTAGCCTTCTTCCTGCTTCAGTCTCCCCCTGCACCTTCCAGCCTACCTACTTTTGCCTACCTGGACCTGCTGCCTGGAACACTGTCCCTGCCCCATCCTTCCCCTGGCCAAATCCCACTCATCTTTCCAGTGTCGGGATACATGTTCCTTCCTCCTGGAATAAGGTCTGTCTGAACCTCGCAGACTGTGAGATGCCCCCTCTCCACAACCCCTCGGACACATGCACCCGTGTCTTCACTTGTCTGTCTCCCTGTGTTGGGTCACAAGCTTCGTGTCCCTTCTCAGATTCTCCCAGGTGCCCCTTCCTTCCCTCGTGGATGACACCACCCCACACCTCCACTTCCATACGTGAGATACCACACAGAGGGGACCCTGGCTTTTCTAGCAGCCCAGAGGGGCTGGATGAGGTGCCTGGGGAGGAAGTGTGTTAGGGGGGATTCCCTGAGCCGGGCAGAACGCCTTCTCCTTTCTCTCTCCCGTGACTCCTTGGAGATGCGGTTCCTCCTTGAAGCCCTTCCAGGGAAGTTCGTGTGCTGGGTGAACACACCTGCCGGGCAGCCCACTCTGTCCCTCCTCAGCACTTTGGGTGTAGCAGCCAGTGCCCTGCAACACCGCCCATCAAATCCTCCCTCACCACCTCACCTCCCTCTCCATCACCTCCACTGCCCTGGGCCTGCTCCTCCCCAGTACATCAGAAGTCACCTAATCCTTGCCTCAGGCTCTGCTTTCTAAAGGATCCCTGCTCTTTGAAGACAGGGACATGTCTTATTCATTATTTTAATCCCAGTGCCTGGCAATGAATATATGAGGAGTGATGTGTTCATTCATTTTTCTGACACTCACTTTGCCAATGAAAAATAAAAGCACAGAGGAGGTGAGTGGAAGCTCTCTTTTAGCATCCTTGGTCAGAAATTGATCTAATGGCTGAACTGGAATCCTTATGCTCTTATCAACAGGAGGGAAATTGAGAACCTCTTTTCACTTCTGTGAAGATGAACCTGGTTGATATAAATTCAGAGAGCTGGAAACACAAGAGGTTTCCTCTCCAGGCCTCGGAGCTTTCCCAACTGTTCGGAGGTGAATTGACCTTGAGCTTGGACTTGTGCCGTCTACAAGGCACATGTCTTTCAGCTACTTTCCTGCAGGTCCTTAAACCATGACATGTGGACGTATCAGCACAGTGACAGCCTCCCTCTACCCCGGGTTTCAGCTGCTTTTGAACCACGTGCCCCAATAAAATGAGGCATAAAGGTGTCTGTTTCACATCTTGCAGCAAAGTGCAAGAAATTTCTCCAGATCACTTCCTGAAACAAAGTCCCCTCCATTCTGAGAGGAGGCAGCCAG